AATAAGGCATAAGAATAATAAAGAAAAGGGTAGATTTCATTCTGCTCAAATAATTATTTATTTATTTATTAAATACTTTGTTTGCCAAATTGTCTCAATTTACTTTTCTTTTACTTGTAATTATAAATGAGTTAGGACAACTCGTTACAATAGTGCAGTATCTCTGGTAAATAGTATATTTAATAAATCATTTTTCTGTATAATTATGACCACATGGGAAAGTTCCTTTGGGACACTATATCACATGCATGTGGATTAACACTTAATTATTAACGAAATACAAAATAAAATGCTTATAACAAATAATTATTTAATAATAGATAATGGCATATTCCACAAATCCAATATGAAAAATACTTTATTTAGAATTTAATATGAGAGCTTTACTAATGCACTATGTGCAGTCTAATAAAAATCATATTGAGATAATTGAACAATAAATTTTTCGTGATCAAATTGAAGATAAATTTCCACGATATACATGTCACACTGACACAGTATGTGATGTAGTAATTCACTTCGCATCTCTATTTCCTCTCAAATATTTTACAATCACAAAATCTATATCACCTTGGTTTAAGTTTGAAATAGATCATAACGAAAATAATCTAATTAATAATATTTTTTGTTTCACCAACTTTCTTATTACTATTAACAATAGTAATGAAAAATTTATATATTTTCTAACCTTTTTCTCTCTTTTTCATAAAGTGTTATCACTCACTTACTTCAGAAATTTGGTTTCTAACATTACTGAATACTAGTGAACTGGATATTTCTTTACCATTTTTCTTTTTATACTCTTTATATCACTTATATAAGGCCTCTCCAAGATCAAAATAACTACTGATAACATCACGGTTCGTAACCTCATTTTTAGATTCAGCATAATCAATTTTTCTAAAAAAATATAAAAAATTAGTACTATATCCTCCTGGTATATTTTCTTCAACAATTTCCTTAATTTGTGGGAGCTTGTATTTAGACATCAATTTATCAATAAGCTTTTTCAGATTTAATGATTTTTCTCTATCAAGCAGTTTGGTAGGTTTTGCTTTCTTATTGAATAATTTATCTTGAATTGTAATTGCCTCTTCAATAACAACTTCGATAGGTCTTTTATTGGACTCCTCATCTATATCAGTAGTTTTACTTTTCAAATTATTATTTCTCTATTATCTACATCTGGCATCTCTTCATCAATAATTTCTTGAAACTAGATATTAAGTTATTTTCCCATTTTCCCAACTAATGAAGAAGTACTAGATTCTAAATCACGTCTAAGATCCATTTCAGCTGTGATGAACTTCTCAAGAATTTCAATGCTTTTTCCACAGTCAGGAAATGGACACATTTGTTACTTGGTAAGTAGAAGTTTTTTCTCAATACAGATTCTATAATATGTGTGACTATATAATAAAATGGTGAATGCTTTATTGGAATTGAAAAAATCTTATTGTATTCTACACAGTTAGACAACTTGGGAAATTTCTTATTTTTGACTACATCATCATTGAAATTTTTTAGGATGCTATATGTGAGGTTTTTAAGATTAGTAATTGAGACTTTTTCTGTTCTTGGTATAATGCCCACATAAAACAGATAAGTTCTTGAACCACAGACCTTTACATATTTTCGTATACTCTCATATATTTGCTCATATGTCACTCAAAAAATTATCCCAATTCGAAATAGTATTATATCTGAAAATTCATTATAGCAGAATAAAGTCAAATTGAGGATCAGTGAAAAACATGAAAATTAATAAAAAATATCGTATTTAAGAAATTGGGTCACACAAAAACATGTGGATGTGTACACGATTCGATTAGGTCAGATAATTGTTTATTGAACCAGCGGGTTTCCATAATTATGTCAGCAGTTCTCAAATTATAAAACTAGTCGTTAGTGCGTATTTTATGTAAGCTTTTGTGTAATGATATCTGGAATAAATCGAAAAGATATAACGGTAAAGCAAGGTTTTTGGGGATACATCTTTATAAATTGGGAGAAATTATCTGTTATTTCGTTATTTTTGAACTTTTGATTTGATGTGAAAAAAGCTTTTATTTATATGTAGAAGTTTCAAAATATTTTTTTAGTAAAATAAAGTACCTGAATTAGTAATATTCTATTATCTTTCTACGTCACGTGCTACCTAAAGTATTAAATAAAAAAAAAAAGTTAAAAAGAGTACCCGACACTATAAAAAATAATATACTATCCTTTACTTTTAAAAATAAAATCGGGAAAAGCGGAGGACGCGTAAGAAAGAAAGAAGTTAAAAGGTACCCAGTGTTACTATTGATTGTCAAAAAGGTGTAGTGGTCACGCCGCGGATTGTAATTTAAAGTTTCCAATACGCATTCCTATTTTATGAGTCTTCCAAATTCCAGCCATATATAATAGTGGTACCAGATCTAATAAAAATATTGAATAATATTTGTATCATTAATTACACGAACTTCCCAGTTGAGGAATTATTCGTTATCTTTTTTATATTGATTCGAGGCAGGAAATTAACGTTTTTGGCAAGATTAAGAGAGTGAAAAAATCCACTTTCAGGCCTTCTCTTATAAGGATTAAGAATACTTTTTTCAGCAACCTTTTGCCTTTCCTTTTTTGTTATTTTTTTTCTTTCTAACAGAGAATTTGGATGAGCTCTGTTCTGATAAAGAAAAAAAGAAGAGAGGTTTTTTGATTAAGCACGAGGGTGAAAGGGAGAGACAAGATTAAGTAATTGGAATTTAATGATAGGAGAGAGAAGTGTAAATAAAGCATTATGGTAAAAGCAACTCAATACTTGGGTGAGAATCATCGTTACTAATTTAGACATACAGTAAGTAACAAAAATTTTGGGATTTTTTAATTTACAGAAGTTGAATTATTCTTCTAATAATTTCAATGGTGCAATTAGTTTGTATGATTATGAAAATCTAGAAGACCATAATCCTTGGTCCACTTTATATGAGGTGCTCCTATCTACATTATAAAATGCAAAATATTTTCTTTTGTAAAAATTATGTTTCATTTTTCTTTTATTTTTCTTTTATTTTTTTTACCAATGAATATTGTCTCTTCTTTAATGAGTCTAACAAAGTTTCCCAACAAAAAATGGTCGGGTGGTGGATCAGGAATTTCACAAAGAGGTGAAAGATATAATGGATAAATAATCCATTTGTAGGTATAACATCCTACTAACAATACCGCCAACAAAATTGTTAAGATTTTGGAATTGAACTAGCTAAGTAATGGAGGGATAAAGTCAATTTGTTACGACTTTGTACCATTATCTATTTTCCTTTTAAAATAATTTAACCGCCACCATCATTTATTTTCCTTTTCTAAAATAATTTAACCGCCATCATTATTTATTTTCCTTTTCAATATATTTAACCGTCACCATATCCTTTTTGTTCTAATAATTCAAAAGCCTTACCATCTTTTAGATCAAATTCTTTCCAATAATACTTTTAATTTCTTTCTTTTCAATATATGTTAACCATTTTTAAATCTTTAATTGCAAAAGTTTCTATTCCTTCATATTAAATTGTCTATTAATTTGAGGATTGTAATTGCGTGAGAAGTATCACTATTGATTGCCCAGATAAGGTAGGACACGTAAGAGAAAGTCAAAGAAAGATTTTTTACATGCAGTATCACTATTGATTGCCCAGATAAGAATCAGTTAATTACACGAACTTCTCAGTTGAGGATTATTCATCTTTTTTATATTGATTCAAAATAAAAAAAGACTTTTTTCAATAATTAACTTTCAACCTTTTGCCTTTCTTTTTTTTGTTTTTTTTTTCTAAAAGAGAATTCGAGTGAGTGAGCTCTGTTCTGATAAAGAAAAAGAGAAGAGAGGTTCGAGAGAAGTGTAAAATTAAGCATTATGGCAAATGCAACTCAATACTTGGAGGAGAATTATCCTAGTTCAAACAGGACATCGATTACTAATTTAGACTTAAGTAATAAAAATTTTGTTGGTGATTTAACAATAAGTGGATTTGTTAATTTACAGAAGTTGAATTATTCTTTTAATAATTTCAATGGTGAAATTACATTGAAGAACTATCAAAATCTAGAAGATATCGATAGTTCTTACATCAATACTTACGGAAGTCACAATTATGACTATATGACTAAACTTAAAAGGTTAAAGCTCTCTAATAATCTGATCAGTAGTCTAATACTTGACGGATCAAAAAATCTTGCTTATCTAGAATGTAATAGTAATTCACTTACCGTTTTAGATTTAACTAACAGTGAGAATTATGTAGAAGTGAATTGTTCTAATAATCCAACTCTTTCGGAAATAAAATTTCCCGATAGTTTTGATAATGTTCTTTTTGACTGTAGAGACACTAGCTTGACTCAAGTGAAATTTCCTAATTCTTCGGTGTTTGATTGTCAGAAAAATACTATTCTTCCTCCTAACATCACCTCCAGCACAGGAATACAATCAACAACCACTAGCAATAATCAAGTTACTGTAACGAAAACATTAGCCACTAACAATAAACTTGATACAGCTACGGCAACACCAACCACTAACAATCATCTAAGTTTAAAAATTGGTCTCAGTGTTGGTATTATTTCCATTTTTTTACTTGGACTAGTAACTCTTTTATGCTACAAGTATAGAAATAGGAGACAAGGAACTTCAGTATTGCAAATACCAAGTAGTGGTGATGGTAATAGAAAGTAATATTTTTGAAAACTACTACAGTTAATAACCAAGAACTTTTATAATTATAAAAGAAATCTTTATATTAAGGAAGAAATTTTGAAAGTAAATTATAAAGTTTTAGCTTTCTTATTTATTATAGTCAAGTTTCACAAAATAAAGAACAAGAAGCTCAGGAATTAAAAATGTCAAAAAGGAAGATATAATTAATGAAAAGTAATAAAAAAGCATTTCTATCAATATTTATTAACTTTATTATTATTATTCTTATCTTATTTGAGAACCTCATAATGTATATATATAATAAATGGATTTTCTTAACCTTATATAATAAAAATTCAAAAGTCATAATATTAGAAATGATAAAATTCAAAAATAATTACTAAAATTAGAATGCTAATTGTAACACAATGAGTGATCTAAATTGCATAAACTTTTTTTATTAGATTTCTCTAAACTAGGACTATCATATGATATATTTTGTGATAAAATTGAACATTTATAAGTAGAGATATTACACTTAAAATGAAATTGACAAAAAATAATAATTTTATTCTTAGATCATTACCTGTATTGTATTTGATGGATATTAAAGATAAATACCAACTATCTTATATAAAATTGTAACCAGAAATAATATCTACAACTTTAATTATTGACATTTTTTTTGATACCTAATAAAAATTCTAATTTCACTTAAACATGAATAAAAATAATCAAAATTTAATAAAATTTTAAAAAAAAATAAAAAAAAATTTAAAAATAATTATATCAATTATTTACGCTTGAAAAATTTATTTATTTATTAACTTAATAATAAATGTGATATTAAGTTACCTTAAAGCCTAAAATATGAAGCATCTTTTGTAAAAATTTTAGCCTTATATAGTTGAACCTGTATATAAGCATGATATTAGGTTGACAAAATCCTATACTTATATAAATTAATGATGTTACAAAAAAAAATTAATATAAAAAATTATTTTTTTTTATAAATAATAAAGTCAAATTAATATTTTTCAAATGAATAATTTAAATTATTCATACAAATTATCACTAAAATTATTTAATTCATCAAAATAATCAGAATTATTTAATTCATTCAAATTATTATTCAAATTATTATCTAAATTTAATGTATTAAAATATTTATTAATTGATGATTGTATCATATTTTTTTGTTTAATAGAAAATACTTTTCTTTTTTTGAATTTCAATATATTTAAGAATTTGATTACAATCTTCATCTTGTTAAAGAAAAAAATTCTAAAGAATTTAATATATTAGTTATTTCATTATATATAATCTTTGGTCTTTCAATAGTATTATCATCATTAAATTTATCATTAAATTTATTTTTAATTCATCACTTTCATTATTTTCTTTTATATTTTCTTTTACCATTTCAATAATATCATTATCTATTAGAATTTTTGCAATTTTATTTTCATCTAATTGATTAAGAAACTCTTGGACATCTATTGAATTTCTATATCTAAGTTCATTTATTTGATTTGTAAGATCATTTATATCCTCTGGAATTTTTATTAAATCATCATTAACATCTGTATTATCTTCTGTTTGTGTACGAATTCCACAGTAAAAAAAATAATGATAGATTGTTTTAGTACGTATATCATTATTCCATATAGAAATAATAAAACGAATTGCTTATAATATATCAATTTTTTCAGGTTCTATCTTATTTGCTTCAATATTTTGAAATATTTGTTAATGAAAAAGTTTTCTATAATAAACTTTAAGATTTCTAATAATACTTACATCACAGGATTGTATTTTTAATGTAGTATTTGGTGAAAGAAAATGAATTCTTGTATTATATAAATTATATTCTTCTTTTACATGTGTTGAATAATTATCTATCAAAAGAAATAACTTTCATCCATACATTTACTGATCATCTATTTAATATATTTAACAAATATTATTTCAGTCATCTAAGCTTTTGAATTCCATTGATATTGAATATCTAAAAGTTTTATATTTATTTCTTTAAAATAACTTGATTTTTAATATTTTCAAATTACCTAACATGACAATTTATAAGAACTATCACTATTAGTACAGACTGCAATAGTTAATTTTTCTTTACTTTTTTTTGTTCCTTCCAATTGTTTAGTTACAAGAAATTTATCTACAAGAAGACAGTAAAATAATTTAGTTTTTATCTATATTATAAATGTCTTTCTATTCATATTAATCAAGAAACTGATGAAGAAAAGGTAAGACTTTAATAATACTATTTGAATCTGCAAACCTACTTTTTTTATGCTTGATATAGGATTTAATTTTGTAGTGATTCTTAAAACTTTTTAATCAACTATTAGAAAAATACATTGTTTTATTAGAATACAATTGTATTAAAAAAAATTGAGTCTTTTTCTTAATCATATTATTGCTAATTGGAACTTTTTCTTAATTTAATAGAAACTATTTATATAATATATTATCTAAGTAAAGATATTTCACAGGTTTAATTCTTTTTCAATTTAAATTTTCATATTAAAAAAAAATGAAATAGAATTTATTAATAAATTATTAATAACATATGTACATACAATATATTACGGTATATTTATTTTCTCAATATCTATTTCTTCAAGAAACTTAGCTAGTTACTTTAATATTCATGATATTGTTAATTGATTTACTTTAAAACCAAATTTTTACTCTATTCATTTTTGAATATCCATTTGTGTCATTTTTGAATTTTTATATTTTTTTTTATATATAATAATTTATTAAGTTTTAGTAACAACCTGTTATTTATTTCTAGAAGAAGATATAAGATTAGTAAGTATATAAGACAGAAATTAGAAATCTGTTTAAAAAAAAGGTAATAAATAATAAAGATGATAAATAATAATTATGATAAAAATTGTTATTACATATGGAACAAACAAGCAAGAAACTGAACTTACGATTGAATAAATAAATGAATGAATAAATAAATAAATGAACAAATGAATGAACAAACGAGCAAGCAAATGAACAGACAGATAGATAGATAAATAAACAAACTGGATAAATAAATGAACAAATAAATAATTATGTAAATAAATAAAAAATAAAAAAAATAAAATGATATGATATGTAATGATGATAAATAAATGAAAAAATTAATATAATTAAAATAATGATGATGATGAATAGAATAGAATAAAAAACAAAATTGAGGTGATAACGAAGAATGGAAATGGATGAATAGATAAGTGAACAATAAATAAATAAAAAAAAAATAATATCAGAAAATTTTTACTTTAAAAATTTTACATAAAATTTGTAAAAATTTTTACTTCAAAATTTTCAAAAAATTTATGTAAATTTCTACAAATTTTCAGTTAAATAAAAAAGTTTTTATTATATAATATAAAATGATTTTGTTTATTTATTACTAAATGATTATACTAAATGATTTTGTTCAAACTCTTTTAAAAATTATTATTTATAAAATTTTAAAACAAAAATTTTTGAAAATTTTTGAAAACTTATTTATTTCTCAAGTAAATATATTGATTTTTGATAAGATTGGACATTATTGCATCAGTAATTATATTAATTTAAAAACCTTTGAAATTATATCGCAATGTTAGATTTTGAAGGTTATCGATTGTATTACAACTAGATTTAAGAATCGTCTTAATATTTAGACCTGATTAATTGTCACGATTATTTGATAATTATTTAATGATTATTTAGTAATTATTTGACAATTATTCAATTATTATTCGTAATTATTCAATGATTATTACAATTATTCAATGATTATTCACAAATATTCGATAATTATTTACAGGTTTTTGTACAGTTTTTTTACAATTGTTTTTCTTTAAACTGAGTGATCACTACGAATATTGAAGCTATAGGGATGAAATATATATCATTTTGTAGTTAAGAATGATGCCGATCCATCTATCTTAAAAATACCTTAGTAAAAATCTCTCTGTGCCTTGCAAATTGCGAGCGAAGTTAAAAAATAGAAAAAATATATAAAAATCTTGGTAAGTGTTGAAATTTGTATAAATTTTTGCCTAATAAAATTTCCTGATGAAATAAATGTTTATTTCTTTTAAATAAAATATTTATTTAATACTTAATTTTGGTATTAATTAGTAAATAACAAAGTTTATTATGTAATAATGTAATTATAAATTTAAAATTTCCATATTAAATTAATTTGATAATATTTTCATTTAAAATAATTTTTGATTTATTAATATAATTAATATTAAATCAAAATTAACATTTAGAATTAATAAATTAATATTAAAAATTATGATTATTAAGGAAACATTTCTATATATGTATTATTTTATTTAATAAAAAGAATTTAATTAATTAAATATGGATTTAACCTATTTCTAAGAAAAGTTACATGAATTCCAGCATCTGAAAATAATCTTTCGGATGATACAGATGTTGTAGGAATTGATAAATATTTTTGTGTCAATTTTGATAAATTAGGATATGAATTACAATTTGCTTTTTACCAAATTAAGAGATCATTTTTTTCATGCATTAATAACTCTTTTATTTGTAAATATTATTCAAATTCATTTGAATTAGTTCTAAATTCTTGATTAGAAGTTAAAGAAAGATGAGAAAAAAAAGATGATATTAAAGATGTTGGATCTGTTTCTAATGAACTTTGAATTTCATCAGATGAC